CACTTGCTGTGTGTCAGGCATTGTGGGTGCCTTGAAGGCGCCGTGAGTTTAATCTTCGGGATGATTCTATTACTTCACTACTCCTGTTATCTCTGTTTTGTAGGTGAAGAGACAGAACTGGCTAAGAAATCTTGTCAAGGTCACCCAGGTAAAAGTTAGATGGCCATTTTTCAAATCAAGAATTCCGACTTCAGGGCTCTTGTGGTTAACATTCCACACTGTCAAAGGCCGTCCTGGAGACATGAGTCTTTTATCTTCTTTCTCCCTCTCTTCAGTTCCATCCCACTCCCCGATTTTCACCTGCTGTTCTGGGTTTGAAGTGAGGTACACATGCGGTTTGACTCCTGAGAGATGGGGTCTCTGAGGATGTAAGCCGAGAAAGAAGAACCATGGGAGTTAGCAGAGTTAACTGAGAAGTGTTCGCCAGCAGGAGACAGCAGATGCTGCTCCAGGCAGGAAGAGGCAGCCTTCTCTCCAAGCCCCAAAAGCCTCTTTGTTTTACGACTCTGGGTGCAAGCAACCCTTTTAATTTTGTGTTTTGGATTCTTGCCATGGAGAGTCTTCTTTAATGTAGCAGATGGCTGGAGACAGGCAGGCCAGGTTCTTACATTCTACATGAAGCCGCCTTCCCCAGAGAGGAGTCTCCTAACTATGCTAAGTGAAAAAGGAGAGAAGCTGTAACTTAACATAGACACACTGGCTGTTTACCATGTGTAAAGCAGCCGCTGTCTTGAGTGTCTGCAAGAATGTGGAAGTCAGGAAGTCGTTCGGGAGTCTAGCGAAAGCTATGGACTTTTTCTTCAGAAGATTTGTACACAGGTATACACAAAAAATGTTCTCAATAATCACAGGGGCCCAGGGATTCTCTGCTGTCATTGCTGGAGCTTCAAAGAGTCTGCGGTTGATAGTTTCCTGGGCTTTGAGTGGACACAGCTGTTATCCTCTCTTTTCTTCCTCCTCCTCTTACTGTGTGTTATGGCTTCAGCTTCCAAGTTATTAAAATAGATTTGTCTATGGGTTCTTTTTGATTTTTGAAACAGGGGCACACGATGCAGTTCATGCTGGCCTTGAACTCACAATCCTCCCATCTCAACTTGTACAGTGCTAGGAGTCCAGGTGTATGCTGCCATGTCTGGCTTACTGATGAGTGTAGAAGTCTTCTACACAAGAACACTAGAATTTTACTGGAAAATACTTTCAATTTTTCTATAAAAATTATTTCAGTGTGATCTCCTGTTGGTGTGGCCCTTTGGTTTATTCTGTACTTCTTTAAGGTTTATTTTTATATTTAATTATGTGTATATTTGCACATCTATCATGGGTTTGTGCATGTAAGTGCAATTGCTCACGGAGGCCATAAGAGGTCATTGGCTCCTCTAGAGTGGCAGTTACAGGTGGCTGTGAACCATCCCACTGGGTTCTGGCATCTCACTCAGGCCCTCTGGAAGAGCAGTTTGTGCTCTTGTCAGCTGGACCACCTCTCCAGCCTGGTTTCTCTTAAAAGAGAAACATAAAGTTTCTTTTGACCGTCTATGTTATGTATTGCTGTTTGCTTCCCCACCTCTGGCCTGTGGGGTATCTTCAGGTGCCATTTCTTTGGAGCCTCGTTGGTTTGGGAACTCTGTTTGGTTTAGCTGTGCTTCCTACACTTTTTCTAGTACTAGGGACAGAGCCTGGGGGTAGTTGGCCAGTGGAAGAACATGCAGAGAATGAACTCTCAGAGTTTGAAATGGAGGTTTTATTCTATTTAAGGATGCTGTCTGGAGAATGCATGTAAGTTTGGACATTTCTTCTCCGGTGCCTACTTTCCATAACTGTCTGAGGAAGGGAGACATTTCTGGAGGCTATGAAGATACAGATACCTCTGATGATGTCTTCTCTGAGGGCTATGGAGATACGGATACATCTGATGATGTCAATTCTGGGGGATATGACAATATGGATACATTTGATGGTGTCATCTCTGGGGGATATGATGATATGAATACATCTGATGATGTCGTCTCTGGGGGCTATGGAGATACGGATACATTTGATGGTGTCGTCTCTGGGGGCTATGAAGATACAGATACATTTGATGGTGTCGTCTCTGGGGGCTATGAAGATACAGATACATTTGATGGTGTCGTCTCTGGGGGCTATTGATGCCTCTGATGGTGTCACTCAGGGATGTTTCTGTTGGGTGACACCTCCAAACACTTAGTTCTTCTACTTACACTTGTGTATAGGTAGGTGTTTTTAGTGACACACTTCTAAGTTACAGAAGAATTGTGGACTTCAAGTATTTATTAATAATTTTCAACTAAAACCATTTTGCCTTAATTATTTTATATTTTAAAATAAAACTTAAGAAAATATGATCCACGTGTTTCCCCAATTTTCCTGAAAATTGTTTACTTCTTGGGTCTGGAAAAATTGAAGATGGGTTGGGACATTAATAAGCCCTTGAGGCTAATTCCATTTACCAAATGACTGACATCTTTGGTTATTGAGAAGAACTGGAAAGAACAGGCCCAGTTGTTTTCCTAAAATGAACTTAATCAAATACAAACCATTTGGGGGTAAGGTTTCTTGCCTTTGCACCTTAACATCCAGGCTGGGTAGTTCTCAGTGGAAGAAGGGCCTTCTAGACATTTAGGGTGCTTATATCATCTCTGGCTTCTACCTGCTGGGTTCCCATGGCCTCCCTGCCTGGGACAATGGAGAAAGTCTTCAAACTGCCAGGTATTTCCTAGGGAACAGCCATTCCTGGTTGGCAACTGCAGGCCTTAGTGATTCAGAAATAGATGCCTCTCCCAGTAAAGAAAAATCAAACACTGAGGCGAGTGTCAGGGGATCTCCATCAGGTGAACATCTGATCTCAAAAACCATTTTTTTTTTATTACAAATCCAGATGTCCCACAGCACATATCTATCTGTTCAGATCACCCTGTCCTCCTTTTGTGCTTAGAGTTAGCTGATTACCCAAAGCTCCAGTTCCTTATGACTTGGATAGCTAGTAGGCCCTCTGATTTCTACACCCTGTGAAGTTTAGGTCATGTCTCTGTTTACTGGGAGAGTTCTTTTGGCTGCTGATCTCTCCATTCCTCTGTTCTGTGTTATTATCTCTCGCAACTGAAGGCCTAACCTGAGTGCCCCAAACCACCTGGGAACCTAGAGTCTGGTTGATTGGATCACTGTGCAGATACACAGTTGAGGAAGTAAAACGTTTGGTTTTAGGGTTATTCGTGTGACTCTGGAAAGGACTCCAAGCCTCACCAATTGTCCTTACAAATATGCACACGTTTGTTTGTGGAAGGATTTTTACTAGTGGTTTGAAGGGAGGAGTGTCACTGGCACACACACAGTATTCAACAAGATCCTCTGCAAACATCAATTCTGAATAAAGGGCATTTCTCTTGCTACGGTTATAGGTACTTCTGAGAGTTGTAAATCCATGCCAGGCTCCAGAATACATGCCTTCCAAGGGCTGGAAACATTGTATTTAACAACAAAGAACCAGTAAGCACTACAAAGAGTCAAGGCACATGGAGTCCTCGTTCACAGTTTATGATGCAGTAAAGAACTTTAAGATGGAGACCTGAGATTGCAAACTGAGGGCCAGCAGGCTAAATCCGGACCATGGGTGTGTTTTTTTTTGGCTTGTGCTGGTGTGAGTCTTCTCAATGTCAAAGAGAAGGGGAGGGGGTGGAAAGGGACAAAGAGGCTGATCGGATAAATGTGAGAATTTCCTTTCGTGTAAAAAGATAAATTCCCAATCTTCTTTGTGAAGCCAGAAGATCTGCCAATACTGGGTCCTTATTCCCACACCTCTCCCTGCTGATGGCTGGCTACAGCCAATAACAGCCACTCTCCTTAGTACGGGAGTGGATAGATGCTCTCTGGTTACCCAGCTCCCACCCAGTTCGCTTCTCTAACCATTTGAGATGGCTGCTTCGATCAAGCATCATCAACAGCGTTGGAAACAAGCCACGGAAACTTGGAACAACACGGAAACTGGCCCATTTGTGTATCAAGTGAGGTGACTCCGGTTTAGGCCGCAGAGGTGGCATTAAGGCGACAAGAAGTTGTCAGATTTAGGGTCTACAGAATTTTGAACCCAATGGTATTGGAGAATGGGATTAACTGGAGATTTAAAAATAGTTACAACTTATTTAGCAAGAAAACGACACAATCAGTTTTGAACACTTAAACAAGTGTTGAAAAATAAACAAATTATTTAAAAGCTTTCCCTTGCTGGGCAAATCGGGTGCCCTAATACAGATATCATATTTCTGGGAATGCTGACCCTTTGGGGAATTAGGAGGGAAAGAGGAGCCAGACGGCCCGATTATTACGGCGTTAGCCTGTGGACAGGCTGTGCACCTCCACGCCTCCACTTGCGCCCAAGACACTCCCTGCTTCCAGAAGTGGGGCGGTGTCCCTTAGACAGCTGGGATTGTGTCCTGAGAAATGGACGATCTCCCCTGAGCTCCGGATTGGCACGGTCTCCATCTGCAGAGCATTTTTCCTTCGGGCGCCACGGTCTGGCTGTATCTAGCAAGCTGTATAATAGTTAGGATTTATATCACACGTCAACGTAAGAGGCGAAGTTGTAGCTGAAGACACCTTTCAACGCTTTCTATAGGCGAGAGCGGTCCCCCGTTGTCCACGGCGAGGACAACTGTTTGGTTAGAAGGCGGGTCAGTTCCGTGGGTGCAGAGCCTGGAGCCCAGTGCCACGCTCAGGCCGGCCGTGCACCGACCGGGTAAGACAGGCCTTGGCCACTCCCGACGCGCATGCGCTGGTCTGCCGCCTTGGACCTCCGTCTCCCCCCCCCCCCCCCCCCCCGTCATCCGGGTCCCGGGCGGGCGGGCGAGCGGGCGCCGTGCGCTTGTCCCGCGGCCGAGCTGCTAATAAAGTTACGGCGCGTGCACGGCGCAGCGACGGCGTGAGGAGAGCGCGCCCGGACGGCGGGGAGGTGAGTGAGGGGCCCCGGGGCGGAGGGGCACGCGCGGCGGAAGCCGGGGTCGGGCGGAGGCCTAGCGGGTCCCCGCGCGAGACCGGACTGGACGGGGCGCCGAGCTGCGCGGCGCGGCGGGGGAGGCCTGGCTGCTGCGGAGGCCACGGCTCCCTCCACGGTCCCGACGAGGCCCCCCGCCACCTCGCCGCGCCACCGAGCGGTGCAGACGGCCTAGGCCGAGCCCGCGCCCCGCCGCTTGGTGTGCTCGAGATAAGGATCCGCGCTTATCGGTGGGAATTACACTCCGGCCCGCGGCGACCCGCCCCTGCACCCGGCTGTCGCCCGTCCGCCCGGGCCGCCCTCCGCTCGCTCGCCCGGCGCTCTGGGGACGTCGCCGAGATCCTCGCGCCTCGCCAAACTTTATGTGAGGAACTGAAGCAGCTTTTGTCTTTCTGCCGGTCCCGGTGGTTCCCTCGGGCGTGCGTGCCCCAGTGCCTTCTCCACCCCCCACCCCCTGGCCCTGTTCCTTTTCGCTTTTCCGAGGCTGGTGCGGCGCCGAGGTGCGAGCCGAGCTTTGAAAACTCCCCCGTGGCGCCCGTCTGAGGTCGGAGCATGCTCAGTAGCCTGGACATTTTGGTTGCAGAAAGAGCTGGCGAGGATAGTCGAGGTATTTGGAGGTGTGCCAGCTATCCGAAGCGCCTGTCCCGACTCCGGTTTTTGGATGGCACCGGCGAATGGAGCCCAGGCCAACCTGGGAGCCAGGACTGGCCGAACACTCTAGGCCCGATCTTTATCTTGATTGTAAAGACAATGTTTCCTGGGCAGCTGGAGGTGGGGGGCGTACTCCTGGCCGCGTTTGCGTCTAAATGGGTGTGGTGCTAAGTATATCTTGTTTATCTTTCTTTGGAAAAAGTTTTGAAGTCTAGTGGCGTTTGTCACATCATCCCTGTTGCCTAGCGCTATCAAGTGTGTTCCTACCTAGCAACAGAGAAGGGGATCAGTGGACTTTGTTGGTTGGCTTTACAGCAGCTAAGAGAAAAGGGTACACGTGATGTTCTTTTCTCTCTGACAGGGTCTTTCAGTGCAGACCTTGAACTCCAGCCAGTCCTCCTGCCTCAGCCTTCCAAGTGCTGGGATTGCAGTGGTGAGCCATCACCGGTCTGGTCTGGCAGTCTTTCTTTTTTTAAACAAAGAGTACTTGGATGTCCTTAGTGTATGGGAGTTACCACTAGCGAGGTAGCTTTTCATTTTAACTTGAAGCTGAAAACCCAGTAGGCGTAGTTGAATGTTTCTGCCAAATGCCAGCCCATAGTGCCTGTTGTATGCAAACAGTGCCCACATGCCGCAAGACAGGACAGTTTCACACTCAACGGCTCTGTCCTGAGATTGTTTCAGATTTTGTAGAGAAAGTCAGTGGGTCAGTAGTAACAAATTCTATTCTTCCTTTTACCCATTTGGTAACATTTTTCCCCCTCTAAAAAGAAACCCTGGAGTTATAAAAATATCCAACACAACTGAGAAGAAACAGTTCATCAAAATATAACCTTTATAACGTTTATATATTATGCTCAGAATTTTTTTTTTTTTTTTAGCCAGGCATGCTGGCTCAAACCTTAAATTTATTCCAATACTTGGGAGGCAGAGGCTGGTAGATCTGCCCGAGTTCCAGGCCAGCCAGCGCTACCTAGTGAGGCCTTGTGTGAAAAACCTTTCATTTTGTTTGATTGCTTACACAATGATCTCTGGGGCACCTCTCCTTCCTCTGCTGCTCCCCCTCTCAGTCTTTTCAGATCATGATTGTTACCACGGAAGCCTTTACTGTGTCTTTGTTGCAAATGCCATCCATCGTTTGGTCACTTTAGGTCATAGACGAATCTTCTCAATTGACTTCCCTCCTCCATTCTGCAGACAGCTAGCCCAGGTTGGCCTCAAACTTGCTGTGTAGTCCAGGATGACCCTAAACTCTTTTCCTCTACCTCCCAAAGGCTAGGATCACAAGCCCGCACCCTCACACTTGGTTGTTTGTTTGGATTGGTTGGCTTGTTCTTTTAGCTGGCTGGAGCCTGCAGACTGCACTGCACAGACCTCACAGATAAAGTTTTCCATGCATCCATGGGATATGGGATAGATAGTTGAAGGAAGAAGTCAGTGAACTGGGGGAGGGAGTAAAATGTGTCTGTGGTTTGTGCAGTGCTGTGCTTACCTGCTTCACTCTGGTGGGATGTGTTGTCTTTCTTTTCCCTCTGGCAGAGTCAGCCATTAATTGCAGTGTGAGACAGTGGCAGAATGTTGCTAATGAGGTTTGAATCAGATTGTTGTGTGCTGGTTATGTAACATGTTGTGAGAGTGTTATTAAAAGTTGCCTTCTGTAGCAAGGAGAGAGGCAAGTCAATTCTGCTTACTCTCGTGGGCTTTCATTCCTGGCTGAACCTGAAGGCACATTAGACTACAGCTGTAATTATACCTGGGCTGCCTGTTTCCTGTTTTCATGGTGGACCCAAACAGCATGGTTTGCAGTGATGAGCTCTTGTCCTTCGTGTTAAACAGAGGCACCGTGTTCTCTTTGCTGAAAACAGATTGGCGGCTTGATTGAACAATTCCATTTTAGTGTTTTGAAGATAAGGCAGTAAAATGATAGTGTTTTACTTCTTAGTAGCTTGTATCAAAATTTAATATAAAATCACTTTCATATGCATATTCTTTGTTGTGTAAGTTTTAATTCACCAATACTTGTGTAGTGTGAATCGAGAAAGCTCTTTTTTTGTTGTTTATAACTTACCAATGTTTTTTATTGCCAGGCGTTTGTATTGCTTTGGGCAGGGAGACCCACATCAGAGCTAATTTCAGGGCCTTCATTCCCCTGGTTTATCCATCTCCACATTATATTTATTCCTATTGTATGTTCCTACCTGTAAGTGCTCTGTATTAAGAACATGGTTTAGGCACCTTGGGTTCTATGATTTGCCAGCATACCTTGAAGAGGTCGGATATTGGAGAAGATTCCCATCTTGTAATGGACAGTAGTAGCCTGAGGAATGATTCTTATCTTCACTAGGTGTCAGTCTGGAAGAGAACTGAGAAAGTGGGATGTGGAAAGCCTGTTACAGACTCAAGGTCCTCTCTGGCCAGAAATGTTGGTGTAGCGCTCCTCCTCTCCTTGCCCTGGGGGGGTTGACCTGTGCCTTCTTACACCTTGTTTTTCTACTTCTGAACTTAGTGGACTATTAGCAGTTGGAATTTTCAGGGCAAGGTCATCTAGCTAATTGCTATTACTATACGTCCTTTACCTCAAACCAAAACTTGAATGTAGTGTGTATGTTTACTAAATGGAACCATCAGCATTTAGAAGTCTTTCAGAAGAATTGTTTAAAACTAGATTATTAGAATTTTTCGATCTTTTATTTTATTTATTTATTTTTTTGAGGCAAGGTCTCATGTGGCTCTGGCTGGGTCTCACTATGTAGTTCTGTCCAGGAACTCACTATGTAGGCCAGACGGGGCTTGAACTCACATAGATCCATCTGCCTTTGCCTCCTGGGTGCTGGGATTAAAGGCATGCACTACAGACTAATTTCCAAATCTCATAGGTCACATATTTTAAATCTTTATTGTTTCATAACTTGGGATGATGTAATTATAGAACATTAAGGCTTTTCATAATTAATCACTAGTTCTGGGCGCTGTGTAGCTTTGATAGATGTGTGAATATCCACACATGTACACAGGCACACACTTTTTTCCCCCAGCCAGGTTAGAGGTTGTGGTTTAGTTTTACCAGAAGTATTTTCAGTAGCTTTTCTCTTTGCCCTTATTTACTGTGTCTTAATTTTGATGAGATTTTTTTTTTTGGAAGAAAGAGTTATTAGGACAGTTCTCTTACATGAGCCTATAATTTTACTTCACTAGTTATTATTGTTAATGTGTGTTTTGTAAATAGGTTTTGTGCTGAATCCTTTGTGAACACAGTCTTTACCTGTAGTGTATCTGTATTTTCTAGTTTGGCATTCCATGGGTATTTGGAAATATCTTGATCTTTTTTGAGGTTTCTAACTGGAGCATTTCCTTCTGATTTCCTGCATGTTACTTTGTTACGCTGGATGGAATGGAAAAGGTAGCAGCCACAAATGTCAAGTGTCCTTTCTGCCTTCTCAGAATATGCTTCAGGAAGAGGCTGGCACTGTGCAAATTTAACTTTGCTCTCTGAGTATGTGTGTGATCACAGGGGTTCTGTTCTCCCTGAAGTACTAGGTCTTGCCTTTTTCCCTCGGTGGTGGACTGCCTCACTGGAGGTCTGGTTATCCTGGTGTGTGTTCCTGGGAAGAAGGGATAGTGCAGAAATACTTCTGAGCTGTCTGTAGTCTTGCCGTATTTGCATTTTCCTGTTCTCTTAGGTGAGAGTCTAGTTAACTCACTGACTGTTTGCACTTTTCCGCTTGAGTGCAGATTAAATGACAGAACAGAAGGGCTAGCCAGCACTGGTTTTTGTTTGTTTTCTTCTCTTCTATTAAGGGGGGTACTTGTACTCTCAGGTACACATGTGGTGCTGGAGTACAGCACAGTGGCATTGGAGTGGATGCTGTAGACTTCGGCTTTCTGTGCTTCAGAGGCTCATGAAGAGCAGCAGTGATTTTGTTGTAATTGAAAGGAGAACACTGTGAAAGAGACTGGCCAGCTCTGTTTCTGGCCTTGTGCCTGCAAGCCTGTACAAGCACGGTCTACTTCTGGTGGCAAGGCAAGGAGTCTTGCAGGCTCTGTGAGGGTGAGCGATACATCTAGATCAGGCTCTGCTTAATTAGAGGACTCAGAGAAGCAGCTGCAGCCTAAAGAGTGGTTAAAAGCTGGGAAACAGAAGTCTGGATGTGGGCGATTCAAAGGAGGGACATCTGGGGGCACAAAAGAATGAGCAGGACTGTGCTTTGAGAAGTGTTGGGACCCATGTTCATCATCCAGAGGGCTATGAGAGCTGTTTAGAGCTTTGGATGTCTTTTTTAACATGTAATCTTTATGTGTTCTACCTGCGTGTATGTGCCTGGTGTCCAAGGAGTCCAGAGGATGCTGAAACTGGAGTTGCATTTGGTTGTGAGCTGCTGTGTGGGTTCTGGGGATTGAACCTGGGTCCTCTGCATGAGCAGCAGCAGCTGAGCTGTCTCTCCAATGCTTTTGAAATTGGGAGTCAGAGCTGGTTCTCTAGGAAAGCAGTTTGAGTGCTCGTGTAACCTTCCTTCCTTTAGATCTTCCTGTAGAGCTGGTGAGTTTCTGAGTCTGGAGGAGCTGTGCGTCCTCGCGTTCTCTTTCAGCTCTTCTGCAGTAGCTGCAGCCTACAAGTTCTAAAGCATTAGAACTAAAGCCTAGGCAGTGGTGCTGGGGTCTGTCCCTGTGATCCTTGGTGGCTGCTGTTTATTTTAGAACCAGAGGGAAAGAGAT